GTACTAGGGGGGAGGGTTGGGAGGGGAAAAAAGTGCAACAATGAATGAATAGAAATCCAAAGTCTCTGTAAATTTTCATTGAAATCAATAATAAATTAAAAAAAAAATTTAAGAAAAATCCATTTCCTTATCAAACTCTAAAGTCTCATAAATGAACCTGCTGAATCTGTTGGAGCACTGAAGTCAATTCAGGTTAAAGAGCAAACACAGGTACTTCCTTCATGTAGATTCAGACTTCTGTTAGACTTCACGTCACTCCAGGTAAATGTGACCACCTAGAAAAAATCTTCCACCGGTGCTGCTGAGTTTATCTCATAGCCCCCCTCCAGTAGGGTTCCAAGGCTGTAAATCTTTACAGGAGCAGAGTACTCATCTTTCTCCCACAGAACAAACAGTGGATTTGAACTAGTGACCTTCAGTTAGCAGCCCGACATGTGAAGTTCTAATTACCGAGGAGAAAAAAGCAATCAGAAAAATGATGACATTCTTTCTAAAGACAGACAGAATAAGCATTTGTTAAGTATTTAAATATTTCTTAAGAACTTCACTCAAAAAAAAAAAAAAGAATTTCACTCAGCAGCATCATGTAAACTTGCATACAGATGCCTCAGGTTGCTCCTTATACAACAAAAGAACTATGTCTTCCTGATTCGTTTTTTTATGGGATGTTAGGGACAACTGCATATTTCAATGAAAGACACATAATAAATGATACTGGACTTATATTGAATAGCGGGGAGGACAAGGCGAACAGCAATCTTACCTGTTTCATTTGATTCATGGGGAGGGGGGGAAATGTGCTGTTATATACTAAAATATCAGACCAATGTAAAACATATTGCAAAGCTTTAATACAATGAGGGTAAATACAATGTTCAAATATTAAACTTTTCAAGCACATGAAAGTAATCTTCCGAAAGATGAATTGGGCTTTAAAAAAAAAATAGCTACCTTAATGTAACGTTATAAAATTCTTTCTCCCAGCAATGTCTGACACTGATCCTGACATGTGTTAGAAAGTCTGATGTCATTATTAGGGGAAGGGCATCTTAACAGCAAAAGGTTTAGATCATCCATCCCAATGCTCATCTTCACAATTCATCATCAGAGCACTGATCATCTTCATCCGTCACTTCTCGGTATTTCCCCAAAGTCTTTCCTTCTGGATTATAGCTCTGCATTTTAATATTCAGCTTTTCAGCTAATTTTTGTGCTGCGTGCTTGGCTTGTATTTCCTTTAAAACAAAAAGCAGAGCAAAAAAGTTAAAAAATATTCGCATCTTTCTCTTATCATTTTTTTATATGAACCAAACAAACAAAATGCCCCCAGTTGCTCTATCAATACACTGTAAGCTAGATTGAAAGGCACACACACAAAACAGACAGATGTGAGGGCGATGATGACTAGAACCAGGTCCATTAACAAGTTGAGTACAGAACAATAGTTATAACTACCAGAACAGTTATAAACATGGACACATTTAAGTATGTGGGCACACAAATGTATATATATAAACAAAATGTGAGCCCTTGGGAAAAGAGTAGCCTAGGTTCCTTGATATTACTTCTTTGTATTTTGGTCAGGCACCATTCACCATGGAACCTCCAGGCAGTGCTTATGTTAACACAAGCAACTGCTCACCAAAAGCTTGGTGGTCTGAGTTCTCCCAAAGCACTCTGGAAGAAAAGGTTACTTTTGTGAGCTCAGCCACTGAGCTCCTGAAAGAGTACAACCGTTTTGACAAAGAGAGTCATCATGAGCTGAAAGTAACTCAACCGTACCAGTAACTGGTTTCATTTTTTGCTTTTCTCCCTAATGCAAAAGTAGGCTGTTGATGGGTGGAGGGCGGGGTGGGTAAAGGAAATGAGAAAGATCTGGTGTGAAAAACAATGTAAATTAACTTTATAAGGAAACCAATGTAAAATAAAAATTTTATTTAAAACAAAAAAGGTTGCCACACTGCCTTGCTATGTCATAAAACCTAGTATAGACTGTTTTTTTCCAGATACTCTTTTTTCAAATGTTGTATTTCTTCATCTCAACATATTACAAGAAACTGGAATCCTTGGATGGTATAGACTGTTAACATATTTGACTGTTAATCAAAAGGGTGATATTTCAAATCTACCCAGAGCTGCCTTAGAAGAAAGGTCTGATAATGTACTTCTGGAAAATTGTTGTTGTTGTTGTTGTTATGTGCCATTGAGTCACTTGTGACTCACAGTGAACCTATGTACAGAAGCTATGAAGCCTGCCCTGTTCTGAGCCAGTCTTGCTGACTCTGACACACCTACCCCCATCCCCTCAATTACTGTGTCGATCCATCTCATCCGGGGTCTTCCTCTATGGAGGACAGTTCTACTGTGATAGACATGGGATCACCAGGATGTGGAGTTGAATCTAAAGAAATTAAAATCCAGACTTAAAGTAACATACTAAAAAAACTCAAATGGCTTTGAAGGTATGGTAGGAAGAGCTCAGTGTTCAAAATGGCTTTACTAGCTATGAATGTGACTTTGTTAAGATGATGGGCAGGAACAAGCAAATAAAGCATGTTAGCCTATCCACAAGCGGACTGGCTAGTCTCATCAATCCACAAGGGGACTGGCTAGTCTTGCCAATAAACTGAGTGGATCCAGCAGCAGCAGGAGGGGCCACTTGTCCTTCAGAACCAGAGCAACAGCCATAGCAGCTGAAGCAGAGGACAAGAGACCCAACAAGAGATGGAGCTGAGCTTGGGACTGCTGCCCTCCATGGAACCAGAGCTAAGAGCTTTTGCCAAAGTTTGTTGGACATCTGAAGGGCTGAGGGGATGGGAGGGGAGAGGTGTGGAGAGCCATAATTGTAGGCAGAACTGAGAACTCTAACACTGGCCTAAAGCCACTGAGTACCTGCGAGCACATTCTGGAAGCTGTCCTGAATGAGTGACTGCATTCTGCTAGTAACCTGGAGATGAACTTCCCCAATGTGGTTCTGTGTGGTCTATCAGCTACTGCATTAGATTTTGGACCCAGCAGAGCAGTAAGATTCGTGTTGAGATGAGTAAAAAGAGGTACGGGGGCGTGGAGGACATGTCTGACCTCATGAGAATTGGTTTTTATTTTAAAATGATGTTGATTCTATTGACAGTTTCCCTTTGTGAAGCTGGTAAAGGTCAGATATGGCTGTCCCCATGTGGCCGTTGGTCTTTTTATAGAGGGCAATGCTTATGAGAAATGTTGCATTTATAGTTACCAACTCTCTTTAACAAACACAACTATACTGAAACATTCTAACAACTGAGTTCAGCACCTGAACAGTTATAAGCATGGAAACATTAAGTATGTGAATATGTATATTCATCTCTTTCAACTTTCCCTATTCACACTTTTTTTACCATCTCATTACTTTGTATGCAAATTGCTAGCATATATGTTTAAAGTTCTATACAGAACATTTGATCTTTAAAGTAATAAATTAAATCTCCAAAAGCAGAAAATTAACCCTTCACATAAGCCTATGGATTATATGCCTAAGGATAGTGTCTGATTATCTATTGACAACTAAACACTCCCTTCACTTTATAGTTCTTCCCTGTGTTGCAAGAGATGGAAACATCAGGACTACAAAGCACAGGTCTGAATAAGGCACCCCCAGGATTTCACAAGGGAGAAAAGAGATACACGCAGGTTTTAAGAGATGTGAAATTTTGCAGTGATCTCCCTGCATGTCCTAGCAAACCACCACTCCAATGCTGCAGGGTTCTAGATCATTACTTGCTACTCTCTAAGTGAAAATCAAGAACGAGTGGCAAGTTTCCCTAAATACAATTTCCCTAGTACTCAACTGCCTCTACTAAACTCTTTCCTCCCTAAATTACTTGGAATAAATTCTGTCTGATTTACAGAGTACCAATACAAAGACCACAAAACCAAACCCACTGGCATCAAGTCCATTTTGATGCAGAGTCACCCTCCATCTGGTTTAAGACTACAAACCTTTCAGGAGGAGACTGCCCACCTTTCTCTCTCAGAAAAAATGGTGGATTCTAAGTGCTGACCTTTCAGTGAACAGTACAATACATTAACACACCAGACCGCTGCAATACAAAGACAGGGAAAAATTATTTTTAAAATACTCTATCTCCCTGCCACCAAGTCAATTTCTACTCACAGCAACCCTCCCATGGGTTTCTGAGGCTGTAAATCTGAACAGGTGAAGACTGTCCATCCAGCTTTTTTAAAGCCACTGATGGATTCTAATCACCAGACACGAGGACTTTTGGTAAGCAGCTCAATAAACAAAGGACTATGCCACCAGAGCACTTTAAATAGTTTAAGTACCTCATACTGCTGTTTCTGCTGTTTCTGCAGTGTTAAAGACTCTTCTATGGAGAGCAGCTGTGTTGGCATATGGTGAAGCGGTAGAAGCCGAGCTGCTGTGATGTCATCAATATGTTTCTTGTCCCTCTGCCTCCGTTCATCTGAAGAAATAGGAGCAACTCTTCTCTGGCTCAGACTAGATGAATCCTTTGGTTGTGAAGGTAATCTGAAGGAGGCAAAATTTACATTATATATTTTCTTTACTTAAAACACACATAGGTATGTCAAACACCATAACATCATAACATATATATATGGAGGGCCTTTGTATTTAAATGTTGATTGGGCCTGAGGGTCTAGTGTTATTACTTTGGAGGAACATTCTTCCAAGTTGTACAGCACTCTTCTGTCAATCTGCTGTACTGTGATAATCTGGGCTTGCCGTGAAGCTGAACTTTGTGCCATCGGGAATCAAATGCCCTAATGGCTGCCCATGGTGGACAGTGCTTGGTGGAGCTTCCAGTTTAAGATAGGTTTGGAAGTAGGAGTCACATCCACTTCCTAAACCTCATGCCTCTGGAAACTATGAACCTGGAGAAATGACGTTACAGAAAGGTTTCAGGCCTTTGGTTCATAGGGTTACTATGAGTCATGCTCGACTTGACAGCAATCAACAACACATTTAAAATGTTCCCACACAGATGGTTAACTATAGAAATTTCTTGAAAAAAGATAACAGTAAGCAATTTACCTATATTACATTTACAATTGCTTTGTCTGGACAGATTCACCTCACAAATAGAAGTACTCAAATGGGCATAACCTCTTCTGGAGGTTAATTTGGTAATTAATTTGTTGTTCTAACAAATAGGTATACATGGGTTCTTTCTCCTCTTTGCCCCTGAAACATTCTACTTGAATTGAAAGTTACATTTTTTTTAATCTATTAATTCAATGGACATCTGCAAAGGGGCTTATTGTCTGGTAAACAAGCATGTCGTTTCAATACCATACCATACCATACCATACCATACCATACCATACCATACCATACCATACCACACCTATGAGAAAAATCCCCTTAGGAACATATGAAACTAGGTAATAATGAGTTTTGGGAGTGGGGCTTGTGTTGAGGGAGTGATGGATGGGTAGAAATCCTGCTTCTGCATTACCTGCCAGCATTTTCTTTCTGGGATCTCCAGAAAAAAATAAAAGTTCCTTAAAGAGTAAAGACATTTATTTACTTTTATCCAAATGTATTGTTTGGAGAATAGCAATCAGTAATTGCCTAGATGCAACATGAAAGCATTACTCTGGAGCAGAAGCATGTAAATGGTCTGTTCTACCAGGGATAGATTATCAGAAAGGCTTCTTTCCTCTAGAACTTCATGGAGACATCAAAGAATTGACACTTGAGCTGAGACTTAGGAAATAAGAGCTTGTGTAAGAGAAGGGGAAAAGGCATCCCAGGAGGAGGAAAGAGAGACAACCTCTGAACTATTACAAAGGTAGATGGAGGAAAATACAAAAATGTAGCAAGGCAAGGCTGGAGAACAGTCTGGGTCCCACCTGCAATAAATCTGTTGTTGTGTACCATCAAGTCAGAACCAACCCACAGCTGACCCTTTGATGTTTGGTTTTTTTAATGGGTTTTTAAAGGCAGTTAATTGTACAGGAGATTATCTATCCTTCTCCTGCAAAGCGGCTGGTGAATTCGAACCACGTGCCTTCAGGATTGCAGCACAGCTTCTTGCCACTAGGCCACCAATGCTCCCTGCAATGAATCTAGCGTATTTAATATATTCAGATTCTAATTTTACAAAAATCACTCTGGCAGCAGAAAGTGGTTGGACAGTACAATACAGAGGCAGGAAACCCAAGCTATGGATGAAAGCCTTCACTTTGGCAGAAGAGATGATGAATGATTAGTAAGTGATGGAGGCCAATAGTGTGTATTATGTGGATCTTTGTGACCGGCAGGACCTGAAGATTCAATAAAGAGAGAGACACCATGGGGACTGAAGAAAAAATAAAAAATCCAAAGTGACTGTAGAATATGAAAGTCAGTTTGGAGAAAAAAACACAGGTTAATAGAAGTTTACCATATGTGTTACATGATGGCCCCTGAGATGGTAATTAACACTCCAATGGTCAGAGGTAATTCTAAAGTCCATGCATTTCTGATATTTTGAGGAGAAAAGGGTTAGTGGTACATGGAAATAGATGTAGGTCAGCAACCAGCATTCAGGTGGTCTGTGAAGGCAGAAGAGTATGGAGGCAAAAGGAGAGTCCTTTCTGACCTCTAAGCGCTGCTGCCTCAATCTTAAGCCACCAGGCATCACCGGCCCATGATCGATTTGTCGAGGCCCAGCTCCTCTGACCTCCTCTTAACTGCACAGATCTTTCCCTCTTCATTTCCCTACCCTTAGTAGTGTTCAGTGCCATTTTCTTTTCTTCCTCCTACTTCCCAGCAAATAATACAGAATTAGAACTGGCTTAAATATAGAGTAGGTGATAGTTCTATTTATAGACTACATAATGTTTAAAGAAATGGAGATGCCTCACCTTACACAAGACAGATTACTTCATGAAATAGAACTGTCTTATTCGTAACAGAAAATTAATTACAAATAACCCTGGTTTTCTATACTGCAGAAATAGTCTTAAGGTTTAGAAAAATGAACGGTGGAGTAAGGTTCCATTTTTAAATCTATGTATAACAACAATAAAAACTGTTAGGGATTTTTACTTAGAAGTTTATCAAGTTTTCAAAGAAAGGCAGTATAGTAATGGCTGGGATTTTTATTTCATGCTGCATCTAGCACATACCAGTTGCTATTCTCTGATTTGAACACTATATTTAAATAACAAGTGAATAACAAGTCTTTACTCTTCAAAAGGCTTTTCTTTTTCTGGATATCTAAGAAATTAAACCCCGGCAAGGAATGCAGACGCAGGATTTTTGTCCCCTCTGCCTGATCTGTTTTCACAGTGGTTTTCTACACCTTCTACCTCCTCCTCCAAAACAGTCATTATTTTTGAGTGTTATATTTTCCCAAATGTGTAAGCCTTATATCATCACCTAGATCCTCAACTCTCTGAGCATTAAAATTTTATCTTGTGTCACACTATGTGCTGCTTGTTGTTATGTGCTGTCAACACAACTCATAGCAACTCTATGCACAACAGCTCTGAATCCTGCTCTATCCTGAGCCAATCTCACTGTCTCTTGACACACCTACCCTCATTACCCCAGTTACTGTGTCAATCCATCTCATCCTGGGTCATCTTCTCCTGCACTGTCCCTCAACCCTTCCAAGCATGATATCCTTCTCCAAGGACTGGTCCCTCCTGGCTATCTCCCCAAATATGTAAGTCTCAAAATCCTTGCCACATCATAAACTCTCAAATACTGTTTGCTAGCCATTACTGTTTCTGTCAACTCCTACAACTGCTTTTCTCTTAGCTTTCAGTCTAATCAAAGGGAAAGCTGTAATACAGAAAATGGTCTTAGGGAAGGTGGGAGCCTAATATATTTTCTAACTATGTTTTATTATTACAAAGTATCTTGAAGTTGAATATTGCCCTACCCGTTATTTAAAATATTTTCAATTATTTGGTTAAAACACCAGTGTTTTTCAACATGACTCCTCCATTACCACTAAGCTCTTTTTGGTATTTTCAAAATATATTCACTACCTGGAATTATCTCATAAAGTCTACTGGATTATTTTTTTTTCTTATTCAGCTTTAGCAAACACTATGCCCCTTAACAAATACCCTGTGATATACCTTTTTCCAATGACACTTACACATTTGTTTTAAATTTATGAGATGAAGGCACTGGGTTTCTGGCTCGCATTTCTAGCACTTCCATATAATGTGGCTTCTTCTGAGTGCCACTAGGAAAGCCTGTCAGGTTATCACTACTTGTGTTTTCTTCTGAGCCATGTTTCTCTTGGTCTGCAATTGTAATCCTTTGTAACCTATCAATAAGCAGGTTGTCAGAGATGCTGGACGTAGCTTCTTCTTGACTTGAAACATGACGCTGAGGGAGACACCTGCTAGCTTCAGATGAGGAAGATGCACTGGCTCTGCTACTGGGAACTGTTTCCTCTGCCTCTGAAGTCCCTTCATTGCTTTTGTGAAAGAGAGCTTCAACTTCATGTTTTGGTGAAGTTGTTTTAGATGACTTGCTGTTATCTACAGAGGAACAACCAGGAACTAGTGATGAAGTATCAAGGATCTGTTCAGAATTCTGAGCCCTTGCTGTGTCTTCATCAACCACTGCAATCACTTTTTGCCTTACTTTAGAATCTACTTTAACAGGATGAAAGAGTTCACTTTTTCCTGTAGACTCTTCACGTCCTGCAATGGCCACTTTCAGTTTGGCAACGGAGTCTATGATCTTTTTACCTTTGTCGGGCAATTTGCAAATGAATTTTCTGTCAAAAAAAGAGAACAAGTGCACGTGAGAACCACATTTTTAACTTTGAGAAATAAAATGTTTTTTTAAAAAAAATCCAAAGCATTATTCTCAAAGGGGGGAAAGCTGGATTTTAATGTAAAATCTGATATCCAAGTGACTCAAAACAAAAAAACAAGAATGAAACAGAACCATTATCTAAATACCTTAAAAAAATAAGGGAATGAAGGAAGACCAGGGACTATGCCTCAATTATCCCATCGATTTAGAATTGTCATAAACCCATCATGTTGTTGTTTTTGTTATGTACCGTCGAGTTGCCTGCGACTCATAGCGACCCTATGTACAACAGCCCTAAACTCCGCTCTGTCCTGTGCCAATCGCACTGTCTCTGACACTCCCAT